CAGTTGTATCCATGACAAAGTTGAGGCTGTCAGGAGGGTGAGTGGGTTTGGGGGCAGGCAGAGTGCCTTGGAGAACTTACGGGTCCTGCCAAAACCCTAATGCAGAGATGGAGCTGCAAGTGCAGTTTGAGAATCATCAGCCTGGAGTGGTTTAGTGGAAGGCAGGGAGTGGTTGAGGCCCCCACAGGGGAGCACTGAGGAAGCAAGTTCCGAAGGAGGGAACGTAAGAAATGACCAGCTCAGAACCAAGGATGTTCCAGAAGCTAACCCTTAGCTTAGGGACAGTCTCACAGAGAACATGTCCATGATGCAAGACTCTGCTGAGGGCCTGGGGCAGTGAAGACTGGCGCAAGGTCACCCTCTGGGAAGTGAAGTCACCAGAGACCTTGCGGAGCAGCTTGGAGAGTTCTCTGAGTAGGAGGGTAACAGAATGTGAAGGACACTGGAGAGAAGGCCAACAGGAACCAAACAAAAACAGGCCAAGGAAATCCAGTATAGGGGGCTGCAGGGCCCAAGGAGTGGGTCCCTCATCTCTCCTCCCCACGCTGGGCCAGGTTCCCACCTCCCGGGAGTGCATGGGCTTTGAGGCTGTGCAGGAAGTTCCCGTGGGGCTGGTGCAGCCAGCCAGCGCAGCCCTGTACGACTACTACAACCCGGGTGAGCACTGCGGGGCACCCTGGAGTTCGGGAGAGCTGTGGCATAGGTGCCCTCTTGTGGGACAGTGGACCCTGGGGTAGTGTGGGGGGCAGAAAGCGCTGGGGCTCCCTGGGACTGAGGAGGCAGAACAGAGGGACCCGTGCCCTAACTCCTCTGTGTTCTCCAGAGCGCAGATGTTCTGTGTTTTATGGGGCACCAAGTAAGAGCAGACTCCTGGCCACCTTGTGTTCTGCTGAAGTCTGCCAGTGTGCTGAGGGTGAGACTGAGGGCCTGGGGCGGGGCAGTGGAGGCGAGATGGCCGGGGACCCCCCACACTGTCTGATGGGGCCCCCGACTTCAGGGAAGTGCCCTCGCCAGCGTCGCGCCCTGGAGCGGGGTCTGCAGGACGAGGATGGCTACAGGATGAAGTTTGCCTGCTACTACCCCCGTGTGGAGTACGGTCAGTCTTCCCACCGAGGCCCTGGCCTGACCCTCCCTTGGGGACTGGCTGTTTTGGCCTCTGTGGGTGTAGCCTGCCCCTCTTACAGGTCATGCAGGCAGCCTCTTTGCTCTGACACCAACTTCCTGCCCTCTCAGCCTGAAAGTAACTCAACTTTCTCCCTTCTCCTAACCCCCTCTTAGGCTTCCAGGTTAAGGTTCTCCGAGAAGACAGCAGAGCGGCTTTCCGCCTCTTTGAGACCAAGATCACCCAAGTCCTGCACTTCAGTATGAAGCGAACCGGAGAGGCGGGCAGGGCTGGGGGGAGACAGGGAGGCTGAGGTCTGGTTGAGGACCTGACCATCTGGAAGTGTGAAAATCCCCTCGGCGTGTCAGAAGCCCTGGGCTTGGCCATAAATAGGGAGGCAGTGGCACCTCTCCGGGGGGGCGGTGAAGGTGGAATGAGAGGAGCTACAAAGAGCTGCTGGTCTGGGCTCGCCCTGCACCTTCTCTTCCCCTCTGACCCCTTTTGTGCACGTCATCCCCGCAGCCAAGGATGTCAAGGCCACTGTTAATCAGATGCGCAACTTCCTGGTTCGAGCCTCTTGCCGCCTTCGCTTGGAACCTGGGAGAGAATATTTGATCATGGGTCTGGATGGGGCCACCTATGACCTCGAGGGACAGTAAGTCATCTGATCCCCTCAGTCTCTTGTGCTCCCCATGCCTCACCACCTAGGCCTTGCCCTTCAGAAGCCAGATGCCTGTGCTCTCTGTTCCCAACTGCCATCCTCCCGAGCCCTGCTGAATGCCCCTTTGCCCCCTGCAGCCCCCAGTACCTGCTGGACTCGAATAGCTGGATCGAGGAGATGCCTTCTGAACGCCTGTGCCGGAGCACCCGCCAGCGGGCAGCCTGCGCACAGCTCAACGACTTCCTCCAGGAATATGGCACTCAGGGGTGCCAGGTGTGAGGGCTGCCCTCCTGCCTCCCCCGGGAGGAACCTGAGCCTGGGAACCATGAAGCTGGAAGCACTGCTGTCTCCACTTTGCTGAACACAGCCTTGGGCCAGGGCATATTAAAGGTTTTTGGCAGCAAAGCGTCAGTGTGTGTCGCTAGGGCCAAGAGCAGTGCCCCTCCGCATTGCAGTTCTGGGGCAGGCCAGGTTGACATAACCTCAGACCCTCTGAGCCCTGATGACCCTTGGGCTGTCCAGCTCTGTCAGACCCTCCCTGATGACCACCCGCTAGGAGTCTAGTGCTTCACAGGACCACCCCGAGCAGAACTGGGACCCAAGAGCCTGCCCCCCAAGGACCAGAGTCCATGCCAAGGCCACCCTTCAGCTTCCAAGGCCCTCCACTGCCCGGCTGTCACCAGTCACCACGGCCTCAGACAGGGCTTGTGCTCAGCTGACACCTCTGACACAGCTCTTCTGCCTCATGAGCTGTTGTCCAGCCACACCTCCCCGAATCTGTCCTCAGGCTGCTGGTGGTTCAGAGGTCTGTGGATTTTGGCTGAGTTCTGGGCCATTGATAGCCTCGTGACGCTTCGTTCTATTATCAGTGGCGTGAGGTGACGTTCCTGGAGTTGTGCGATCCTCAGGTCCGGTAGTGTCTTCTTCCAGTTACTGGTTTCAAACAAGCCAAAAGTCTGACTGCGCTGTTTGTGAATCCTCTGAGGAAGCTGCTGTTCTCCTGGGGTCTCCCTTCCCCATGCTGCCTGCCTAGCTTTCCCCCATTTAGTGGCACACTGGGGTCTTCAGAGATGACTCCGAAATCTGTCCAAAGAAGATTGCTGAGTCCGTTTCCGTAGAGGTCATGGCGGTTCAGCAGCCTGCCATCCAGTCATTCAACAGAAATTTGGGAAACTTTCACTTCACGCCCTGTGCCAGGTGCCACAGAGACAGCTACTTACTCACTGCAGGGCTCATCGCTGGGGAGACAGATAAGCGGACGGGCAGTCCCCAACCTCTGTGAAAGATGTGATGTCAGGGAGCAGTGCGGGCTTGTGCGGCATCTAACCAAGTCAGGGGCATTGCCGGGCAAGGACAGGGAAGGCTTCCTGGAGCAGGTGGCCTCCAAGTGGGACTCTGAAGACTGAGAAGGAGCCAGGCAAAGAGCAGGGGTAGGTGAGAGCATCTGGCGCAGAAGGAGAATATACTAAGGCCCGGAGGCCGGGGGCAGGACAGGGTACCTTTGGGGACATTGCATGTAACTGACCACATTCGGAGTTTGGATTTGAAAGTGGTGGAAGAGATGGAGATGGTGAGACAAATAGTAAGCACGCCAGCCTTCCAGGTGAGCTCCTTTCCGATGAGCGCTGTCTTATCCCATGGAACGTTGAGAAGTCTGGACCTTTCCCACTGTGGCAGAGGTTTCCTGAGGCTCTCGCATACGTGGCCCTATGGTTGCCCATTGAATCTTTCTCCCAATAGCTGGTCAGCATGGTGGTGGCATAAGCGCATTTTCCAGAGCTAGGGATTCAGTTGCAGCACGACATGGCCCTGTCTGGGAGGCCAACATGAAGAAGGCAGTGGCTGTCATTGTCCAACCCCAGAAATCCCAATCCTGTTTCCCATCTCCGTCTTGATCGTGGATTTAGCAGCAGTGAGCTCACCAATGTAGTGGGTGGCACAGCCAGGATCTTGACTCCGGCTCTGCAGCAGCACGGTCTGGAAAAGCTCTGAGGGGAGAGAGATCCCCACTGTTCCCTGGGTCTGGCTACAGAGCCAGAAATGGGGGGGAAG